TTTCTTCCTCCTTTAAACGTTGACCGTAAATCGTTGCGGTCGGTCACCGCATCAACACGGTAATCCCATTGTTACACTATCGTACTGCATGGTAACACTGTGTTGAGTTGTGGTCGCAGTTTAGGTGGTCGTGGACCTAGCGGCTATCGTAAGATTGGGCGGTTACCGAGGGCGCAGCAACGTAGAGGGCGCGTTTGAGTTAAATCGAAATCTGTTTTATTTTTTTATTTTTCGTAAAATTCGCCGTTAAATTCTGGTCACGGCACTGACGAGGAGAAGACAAACACGCATGACGTACGTTGAGAACCATGTCCGCATCGCTGCGGGATCGCAATGCATTATTGTTCGATCGTAGTGTTGATACGAAACATAATTAGCGGATGTTTTAATTAATTAATATTATTTTTAAGCAATATTTTTCGGATCTGATTGCAACCCTCCGACCGATTCGCGGACGACGATGTACCGAACTACATGTATTTGTTAGCACTCGAATCGATAATAATGTGCTTAAGACTTTTACGATTTATACAATATTATTTTGTTGATGTGAACACAAAAAAAAAAAATCGAAAATATATCAAACCTCTTGGTTATGGACAGTTAATAGTATTAACAATATAATAATAATTGTAACAATCCGTTTCCTAAACCAATCAATGACGCCATATGATTTGTGTAAGTTTTAAGAGGACAACATTTTACTATGAACTTTACTCGGTCCAACACGTAAGTACACGTATATACATTTTACTACGATGTACTACTGAACAAAAGCTATGGTGATGTATATTTTAATCCCATATGTATGCAATTGAAATGGGAAAAATACACAATTATGCGAAAATATACGAAACCCAATAATAAGCGTTAGTAATTTCAAATGTACTAATTCGGACATTTTTTGGCGTACTCGACCGCTTTAAACAATTAATAACAATCGTAGTTTCGATTGAAAAAAAGTCCAATGTACATTGGTAATGTTTATCGATTGTCGAATGATAACGCGAATTTATCGTTATGCTCGAGCGCGGCGTAGTACGAATCGCGTACCGTCCACCAAGGCCGTATCAGGGTCCCTGGACTCCTCCCCCCCTCAAAATTTCTTCAATATTTTACGAATGCTTAAAATAATTATTTATTTTTTAATACCAACAAACACATTTTCAGTCAAAAATGACTTAAGCTCCATTGACTGCTTTTAATTTTATATCATAATATCATATGAAAATATGATATTAGTTTTGATAAAAGAAGATTAAATCGTTTTCTGTCTTATTTTTAACCGAATATCAAAAGTTAAAATCTAAATTCAACAAAATTACAATATACTTGTTTTGGACCCCTTCCGAAAATAATTTCTAGATTCGGCCTTGCCGTCCGCGGTCTTCCGAGGTCCGCGTCGTCGACATCTCGTCAACCGTCTTCCGAGTTATTACGGTAACCCGGCGATTACCAGAATACGACCGTAAACCGCGATACCGGTATATCGACCGTGTACCGCGTTTCGACCGGTTTCGCGGTACAATCGTCGTACGTTTAAACTCGCGACGTTTATCTCCGACATTGATGTGCGCTATCGGTTCCGTTAACACCTCCGTATCGGTAATGCTTTACACGTCGACGTTGCGCGTACTCGTCAAGTGTACGGCCGAAACATCACAACGTTTTTTAAATCGCAACTTCGGTTACAAACCGGACCGTTTCATCGATTCCGATGGTTTTACGTCTTGTACGGTGCACGACCGTTGTCATTGTTGTTAGCGATTATTGTCGTTATATTTCAAAACTATATTTTTATCGTCCGGGTTCCAACATTGTCGTTTGTGCTTCTAACGCACAACTACAACGCCTCATTTGACCTTCATTAACATTTATCATTATTATTATTATTATTATTATTATTATTTTTTTCTTAAGGATTCGCTCTGAATGCTCGAGCAACACATGCTGTTGTTCGGGACCACGTTTTCGAACCGCGTTAACGGCTGGATTCGTGAAAAATCTAATAGTCCGTTGAATTATTATTGCGTAATACCCGACGGATTTATTGCCGCACTCTTTGACCCGTACGTGTTTTACGCGCACATTTACAGTTCTACGATCCCCATGCAGAGGTATTTGATCAACGGCAATCAGGATCATCTCGACACACTTTTGTAACAATGCTCAAACACTTTTCATAATAACAATAATAACGACCCGTTTATTGACATTGCGTGCCCCATTGTTGCCCAGCATCATGCTAAAATATCGAGCTATTAAACAAATTCCGGACGCCGTAGACAATGTGTACGTGCGTGGCTTGTCTTTGACGATATTCCATACGACGAAGAATTTCAGGGAAAAACGCTTTCAGTTTTCATCCTGAACTACCGGTGCAATTATGTCGACCATTTTCTATAGTTTCTACGGTCTTCGTACCGTGGTCTCGGAACATGACAATGTCCCTATCATTTTCCATTTCTTTGCCTCTCTTCCTATCTATTTTCAATTAACGCATTTATTGACTAGATTAACGTTAAATTTTTTTCTATTTTTTATTATTATTATTGGCTAACATATTTAGATTAAAAAACTGTACAATTTAAAGGAAAATTTATAATAATCCATCGACATAGTATAATATAAGGTCTGTGATAGTTCTATTAGGTGCAGAGTTGTTCGTCATAAACTAATTTCTAATTCATACTTGATTATATTCCTTCGAAAAATTACAAAAGCTCCTTTCTTTAACTTAAATGACACACTCCAAAATTACTACTCCGTTCCAACAGTAAAAGAAGTAGTTAAAAATCCCTATAAACGCTTCCACTGAAACCTATCCAACCACCACAGTTCTCTTCTTTCAAAATTATATGTTCTCAACTTCCCAGGCGTTGCCAGAAGACATTTGTGACTTAAATGGTGCCGAGATGATAAAAGAATTGTCCACCGTCTTGATTCTACAATCAAGAATAAAATCACAACCCTCACATCAATTTTGCTCATTATGAAAATTTATATTTATAAAATCAAAAAAAAAAAATAATAATAATAATAAATAAAAGTTTTTGCTTATATAATAATAACAGATCAAATTTGAAAATAATTTTTTTTAAACTGCAATTTCGTTCAATTCTAATGACTATTTATGTATATTCTTCTTAGGAAGTCGGACACAAAGATCATACCTCATCAAACCATTAAAATATATTAAAAAACTATTTCATGGTACTTACTTAAACAGAAGGAAGAATTTCTGAGTTAAAAATACACGCATTTGATGTAACAGCGTGGTACTTTAATATGTAGTATAGACGCCATTTTTTTAATGACTTTTTTCCATAGAAGCTGTTTTTATGTCCCTTATCTCGTTTTAATAGTTTTCATATATATAGTATGTAGTATAGAACGCTATGATGGAATATTATTATTTTTCGATTAGACACAACAAATGAATCGATGGAAAGTGAATTAACGTTTTCAAACCTTATAATTTTCCCGCCTGAAAACGCTGAGCACGCCAACGGTCGGAATCTCGGTGTGCATACGTATGCCGTTTGAGCTGACAACAATAATGACAACAATAAGATTATATATTGAAATACACGTTAAAATATATGATATCGCACATATGTCCGTCATCTGAGACGAAAAAACTGACGACCGATTATGGCCGAATATCGCATTTTTCTGCTCATCCCGCGGAAGACGTCAGTACATCGTGCCATAATAATAAGAGATACGTATGCACAAGTGACAGTAAAAAGAAAACCAGCTCTCTCTGTCACTGTACATTATGATTATCCAGTCGGCGAACGAGGGGAAAAGAATTGATAATGTGAGTTTCGTTACCTAGTGAATTATGGCCACAGCCAACCGTCGATATGCCCACTCAAAATCATCATAATTATATCGTATATAGTATAAGTTTAGTGTGTTACACATTCAAAGAACGATATTTACGAATTGTATGCATTAAATAAATATAATTTTTCAATACAAATTTAATTATTTTTTAAGAATTTGTTGGATATTTTATTGATGTTATAAAAATAATAATACCATATATTTTTGGAACTTAAAAAGGGTATTACTAGGGGAAACGCGATGAAAGTGCAAGGGAATGCGCGTGTTTCCCTTGATTTAAATAAAAATTAAAAAAAAAAACGAGAAATTATGAAAAATCTATAATCAAATGTAAATTTTAAATATTATTACAATTATCTTTTAAAGTGGTACGTGTTTAACGTAATTTTTGTGTATTATTATAGTTGTGTGATATGCCCACTGGTACTTGCTGACATTGGGTGTTAAGCAGTAGCTTTGTTTCGGACCATAATTTGCGTTTGAAAACAGTTAATTTTATTATTCATTGTTTCATTACGTCTGCATAACCTCTCCGTCTCTAAAACGAAGAAATACTTAATTTTATATAGTTCCGTTGTAAGGTATTTCCGTATCATTTCGGTTTCATAAGCGTTTTTTATTCGTTTCGTATTTTCACAATTCGTAACAAAAAAAAAAAAAAAAAAAAAAAACGGGCGAGGGGATTATCCGTTGAGATGATAACCGACTTCTTGTTGATTTTCACAAAAGTAAAAACGATGGAAAATTAAGTAATATCGATAGAAATCTATTGAAATCGCAGCAGCAATATCATCCAAGTGGTGATTGTTCGAAAAAAAAATCAATAATTTTGTCATTGTCTTATTGTTATAACGGTGTAAAACGTTCTTAAACGATTCTGACGGACGCGCGTCGCCGAAGCGTATTTAAATATTTGCACAAGGCCGCCCGGACAACTCAATGGAAGCCGTGCAATCCAATCAGCTTCTCAAGTGGAGCACTTTTCATTATTTACGGTCCGTTACGACGTCGTTTTCGTCGTCGCGCGCGCACACGCCTTTACGCGACGGTATTCGAGTGCCTGCCTACTCGGCCGACCAACCCCCACCCCGGTGTCCTACACACGGCCCGGATAGCCGATCGCCGGTCGGATAAAACGAGCCAACGCCGGCCGATCGACGTTCAGTCGGCCCCGACCAGCAACCGTCGCTGTCGTGTCCCGTATAGCACTCACATTTTATTATTAGAAATAATATTCAGTCTCTTGTAGTCCTCCGCAGTCTGGTTCAGCACTTTGCGCATTATATAGAGGAACATCAGGAGACCGTCGATCCTTCCGTACGGCAAACCGAGCACGCCTGCACCGCCCCGCAGACATGGATACGTCCCTGCTATGGTAAATGTTTTTAATTATTATTATTATTATTATCGTTCGTGTTGTTCAATTGCCGAATTCCGAATCTTATCGCTTTCGCTCAAAAACGTATCACATTGAATTGTTTACTCCTCGCTCGAAAACGGTTATAATTTAGAACTTCTTAAAAAACATCAACTATGCCTCGTGGCTCATTTTTGTTTAAGTTTTGCAATCTTGAAATGAGTTCTGCGTATCACGTATTTCCTGTAACGGATTTTTCAAAAATTAAATGTTTTTTGATTTCTATTTCCCGCGCGGGTTTGCTGTAATTTATAAGATATTTTAACTGAAATGATAGCATAAGTCATAATACAGTTTATCAATGCACAAAAACTCATCTTACTTTTTGTTTTAAGAAGTTATTATTACAAAAATGGGGTCCTTTGCCATATGGGTATCGATTTAATGCTTGAATTCGATTTGTGAGCCAATTAAATAGTAAACTTTAGGTAGTATAAAACCGAGGGTGAATTTTTATGTTTACCTCCTGAGGTGAATTTGTTTTCTGCTTGTATCTAGAGACAAAGTTTATTCATAATATTATTGTAATTAATGAAAAATGGATCGATTTCATGCAGTTCAGAAGCCTGTAACAGTTGTCATCCAAGGTAGACGAAATAATTGAGAGTCCATGTTGTTTTTATTAAACATAGTTTTAATATTCGCAGTGATTAAAGGTGTTTCTTTTCGCGATTTTACGACAGTTTAATTCATTTAATAGCGAAATAAATTTATCTATTCAAAAAGTTTTAAAAAAATGCAATTTATTAAAGATTATCCACCCAAACTACTTTTCATTCTAACAATTTAATTGCCTAAGAAAGTAATATTTATGTACATTTTGATTCAGCACTCGTCACGTATTGTTTTTTATATTCCACATACAACCATGTATTCACTATGCGAATATTTGTACGGTTTAAAGTCGTAAAAACGTTTTATTTACATAAAAAACATCTCAAAACCATACATTAGATAACTAAGACATATAAGATATATTTATGGCACACTAAATTAGCAATTTATATGAATTCCCGGTACGTAAAATTTCTCACAAGAACCGTATTTTCAGAAACGTAATGGTCAATATTTTTTCTCTTTTTGGTCGGAAGTTCACATTTCTCCTTACTAAATACGTTAATACGTTATTGTGTTACTGCAGATTTTTTTTTTTTTATTAAATTTAAAATCTGTCATTTCAGTAGGTATTGTAATTCTTAATATTCAATTACAAGGATGAATACTGCAGCGCTTTAAAATATTTCGTTTGATAATGTGATAATAAGTACAGCTAATTTGATGAAATAAATCGGGTTTTCCTAATTTTTATCGAATAAACAATTCGTTTTCATTTCGGTTTTTCATATCCTTATAATCTCTTTCTCCGTACACGTAGCATTTTTCCGGTATCCACCGAGACCGACGTAGTAAAATTGATCAGTTTTTACCAACCTCCGTTGTCTTAAACACTAGCTCGTCATCTACGACGATTAGTTTCACCCCCCCCCCCCCCCGTCTTCTAATCGTCACAATAATATATATATATATATTTACAGCGCGTCGTTCTCGTGCGAGACTCGGTCGTTGCGTTCGATGCCAATAATTGCCATCGATTCGAGATTTTAGCAGTTTCACTAACGTCCTCCTCGTATAAACTCGTGTCGATCGTATACTCTTCACGAAACGATTGCGAATGAATAATATCCTATATTATCGTGCATGTCAAATCGGCAATAATCGACGTGCTGATTAAAATATTTAACAGTATGTAGGTACTTCGTCAACATGTAAATCGAACACTTCAATTAGTTATGCTTTGAAAAAATGCTCACTTCAGGACTGCATTTGACAAGGTCGTATATGAGCGTGTATGAACACCGATTTATTGATGTCGTAATATTTTCTTCGAGATACATTCACGAAACGATAAAAATATAATGTTCCGGATAAATAATTTGCCGAACACGGTTGAATTTTATCAACATGAAAATAAGTTGTTAAAAAATCTACGTTATCCGATTCGAAATAACAATATTTGTTTATTATCTAGCTTATGATTATTTTCAATTGTTATTTTAAAATATCCCTACATAAAACCTAAATGATATTTTCAAATTGAACAACATTTTCGTTTTTTTGTTTTTAAACACTATTATGTACTTAGCTTCATTTATAAAAATGTAACTCAAATCCAATTTTAATAAACATGAAAGTACATATTTTCGAGTATAATGATACAAGCGACCGAGTAAAACCAATTAAAATAGAATCGTTCCTCACTGTACCATCGATAACAACGATTGTAATTATATTTTAAAACTGTTTCTATACAATCATATATTTCTTAAACACATAACATATGGTTGCCAACAAATATGATTGAATTCAAATTGCATTTCTTTCGTGCACCTTTCGTACACAACAAACAATATGGTGACAAATTTTGTTCGCTATGAATGGCACGTTATGATTCCGGTGCACAGAACGAGACACGTGTATACATTGCTGATAATAAACAAATTCTTCGGGTCCGCGGGAATGGTATACGATACCTATCTTCGCGAATTAAACACGTTAACCACGGTGCGAAAATTGGGTCGTCCAAGACGGTATAATTTTGATGGACACGTGTACGCATGTTATCTATACCGAGAAATAAAATAAAATAATAAGAATAATAATGAAAAAAATAAAATAAAAATAGTTATAATAATAAACAGATAAAACAGGAAGTCCGTCACCATACAATAATAATAATAATAATAATATATCGTCTCATTTCGAACTAAATACACGGTCTGTGCGCGTATACACGGCGTTCGTGTATACATAAACTGTAGCGAAATATGTGAGACAAATTCATTAGACATGTACTCCGTTTTGACGATCGAGTGAAATTCATTATGATAGCGATGTCGAGAAAAGTATCTGTGTACACGTGTAATATACACATGTATACCGTAGTGTGTGCAAAAACGGTCGTAATTTGTGTTTTCTACTCGGAATAAATGCAAAATTAAAAAAAAAAAAAAATTTAACAAACCCGATAACTTTCTTCCGAGTGCTAGACGTGTGTTCTACACGTACGTTCAAAGGTGGTAAACATTGAGAAAATAATTAAATCAATAGCCATTTAAGTCGACATAAGATAGAAAAGTATTGAGTCACAGATAATTAAAAAGTTAACTTATTAACCGAAAAGTTAATATTACACGTTGATTCTACGAGTATACTTGTCGTGAACACTATTGTGTTCTTTTTATTTTTTAAATTATTATCATCTGTTTGTGATCGAACACACTTAAATTTCAAACGAAAAGAAAACGAATAAAATAACTATACTCTAATCGGGATGATTATCTTTCAGACGAACTTGAAAAATCCAAGTGTTTCGTTGTGTTATTATAAAAATGATTGTTCGAAGTTGTGTTAATATGTCGCACAATCTTTTTGATCGACGGGAAAATCAACTTTTCGACCGTGTACGGCGAACGAAGGTACGCGTTGAGTTTTCCTCGTGTCAAAGAGGTGCGATACGCGCGATGATGATCTTGCGCCGCCGTCGCCGCCATCCGCCCGGATTCACGGGCCGGGGTATTGGCCTAGTGAACCCGTGTCTTCGTCACTACAATAGTATGTAGTGATATGACGCGTTACCGAAAGGAACGTAGAACGCCGGTTCACGTGGCGCGAGGCACGCATTGTGAAGACGATTTAAATAAAAGCGTCGATTAATTAATGCGGAAGACAAAAGGCTCGGTGGCTCGGTAAGCACGAGAAGGCGAGAGAGCGAGAGAAGAAACAATACCTTTGCCTTGTCACCCGAAAAAAAAAAAACCGCGGCACAAAACCTATGCATAATACGCCGCGCGGAAAAATCAAACGCGGCGCGCACGTTCTACTATCGTCATCATTACCATTATCATTACAACCATTATTAGAAGACGTACGCGACATCACGACCGTGTCGTCGTAGTCCCCGGAGGCGCGCGCACGACAAATCAGACCATGAAAACAAAAACATTTTCGGCGATCCGGTGCTTAAGCCCGACGATTAACGCTGCCGTCCCCGCGTAATAATGTTATCATCGTCGCATCGGAAGACGTTCGTAATCGTTGCGTTTCGCACGCACTCGATTTTACTCTTTCCGGGGCACGTTAAAAATCGCGATCGCGGCACGGAACGCCCGTTCGTTGGTGTTCTGCGGGTTTTCGACTTCTCGCCGCGTTTCCCGTCGTACGTTTCGATCCGAGGAAATCGCGTTCGGTCGCAGAAGTCGCGCCGATGGAATACGAACACCAAAACGGTAATTTTCCGAGACCGGTCGAAATCGTAGACTTCGACCGAGCGTCGCACTAGCGGAATTCGTCCGGGACATCATACGCCCGATCGTTCGCGAGATAATCGCACCGTGCCCGTTTGGTTCCGGAAGGTTTCGCGTTGTTTGTTCCTAGCACGTCCGAATATCATTCGACGTCCCTCCGTAGCACTCGGTGCCAACACTGCGAATCGTTTTGCAAGGTTTTCGAGCTATTTCAATCGCCAACACAAGGTTCTGCCGCACTGAGGACGTCAAGTGCGTGCCTCGGTAAAATCGTTTCCCGAAACGTGTTAACTCGATTTGCATGCGATCGGCGCAGGATCTAAACGTCCGTGTATTTATTATAACACTTTCTATTCCAACTCATCGAGACAGTTATCCGAGACGTGTATATATAATACAAACAAAAAAAAAAAAAAAATTCACTGTCATGTAAACGATTTGTATTCCGTGAAAATCTGGAATACGGGCATTGTTAAGAAAAGTGAATGCACATTTACGCATATTTCAAGATTTTTATTCTTGTTTTTTTTTCGTTTTTTCATTATTATTATTTTACGGACGGTGTTTTTTTTTTTTTAGTTCTAGTTGAAAAGATTATAATAATACCTTTCCGATCATCATTATAATTGTAACAGATTCTCTAGTGTACCTATATGAGAAAATATGTTACTAGAATAATGTAACCGCTCTATAATCTTTCCCGTGGCATCAATATATCATTATGCTATAGTTTCGAGAAAAACTTTTAATCGAAAATCCGGCCAAAATGTTAACACGTTCTATTCTTTTTCATTTTTTTTTTTCTTCCAATGCATTAAGTGAATTAATAGTTTTTAAATTTTTGTCTGATACGTGTCCGACGGTGTCGTTTTTTCGAAAACTGTAATCTGAATATACCGCAGACACACGTCATCCGTTTGCTTTTTACGTACCGTGTCATTATCATAATAGCTGAAAATATTTCATCATTGAATATTTCACATAAATTAATAATGATAATTATGGTAATATGATAATTAATTACTAATGCGAATAGCATCCATATAATAAACTTCAAATTTCTCTTACTTCTAAAATATCTTCACATACAAGAAAGGTAGTACATTTTATTTAAATAGATGTTTCTAATATCAAATAGATTCATGAAAAAAAAAAAAAAAAAATCATAGCAATAAATCTTTTTACTAAATATATGAAATCATAACTATCAGATCATTTAGGGAAAAAAAACCTGGCTTATGATTTCCTATAGAACTTTATTCTCTGGTCTGATATTCGGATAAATATACATTATATCATACACTTAGTCCTATTGCCATCCGGTCAATTATACTCGCCGAATAAAATCGTTATTAGTTTAAAACTATTTCGTTAACGTAATTTATTTATAAAAAGAAATTACCAATTCAAAGAAAACAATTGCGAAACTGAATTCGTACTAATTTAATTTCACTGAACGTCTACAAAAATAGTTTTTGTATATTTTATTTTTTTTATATCTTTATATAACTTGCAGTAATTTAAACCTACTTTATGTTAACAATTTAGAGTACCGTAGTTTTTATAATGTATTATAATAATAATATTCTGGCCCGTTTCGTTATATGTCATTATATGCTTACATTCGAATAAGCCAAAATAATATCTTTATTTCATAAATTATTGAAATATAATAAATTATACATAGTTTCAGTTATGCAAAAATTATTTAAATTTTTTAGCACTTAACCATGTTCTAATTAAAACTAAATTTATAATTATCATGTACTATCATGCTGAATATAATACACTGCATTATCATTTAGGAATTTACTGTTCAGACAATAATAGTTAACCTATAAAATATGTAAGAGAGTTGCAAACAAATTTCTGTAAATCCACAGGAGTCTATAATGACTTTTCATCTTCAAATTTTACAATATACCTTTTGTGATTGATTATAAATAATTTAATGATAGTTTTATTTGTATGATAGTAGAAAATTCTATAGTTTTTATTTTTTGTTTTTTTACTTAATTGTCTACTGACATGTAATTATATATGTGCGTAATATTATGTTATATTCGTAATCGAAAAATTTAGAATTTGAACATATCAATCAAAACATTGACATTGGTTCATAAGTAACGGAGAAAAAACCTTATAAATAAGTTATTCATTTTGATTTGAGAGAGAGAAAAACTATGACAGATTATTTTTTTTAATCTGACATATGAATTGCACAAATTCCATTTGTACAATATTTAGATTTTAGGAATCCTATGTAGGTCAGTTGAATTTTTCAGCATATCATCATATGTTATATTTTTTGAATACTTGCAGAGATTATAATATTATTATCGTTCGATATAATTTTATTGACGAACGCATGATCTGCGTTTAGTAACAACCGTGTTGTAGTGAGCATTTATATTGTACGCTAAGCACGTACAGCGTTGCAATGGGAAAACCTAACCAGAAGAAAAAAAATACGGACATCAAAACCGTTAAAAATCAAAATCTTAGATAATAAATAAAAGCAAATCCGTCGGGGTATTGTTCAACGGTAAGTGATACGTGGCATACTTAGGTCTCGGTATTTGTCGTTTTTCTATTTTTGCCGTTACTGCGTGATTACCATAATTACGCTAATAACTGCACCCCTAATAATCCATATTAATTGATTGTTTATCGTTATTATAATATTTGCTATCGGTTCCGATCGATGTTTTTCATACACGCATTCAGGTTAACGCTATTGGGCTGCGTAATGTGTGCGTTCAGCTCAGATGCGCCACCGCCCGCGTCGAACGAAGTGTCCGGATTCAGGATGATGTTCAACGCGTACCGGCAGTGCTCGGACCAACAGGAAATGGTCGTGTGCCTGAAGAGCCGAGCCCTGAGGATGCTGGACAGAGCCATGCAGATGGAAAACATCCCGATTGTCGACGGTAACGTATCTAAAGTGTCATTACAATCGTTTTAAAATGTTGTAAAACAGTCGACAACACTTTCCAGTGTTCGTGTAAATAGTACGTGTCACCAGTTGTACGAAACAATAAATTTCTATAATCTTTTCATAACCTGTACGTGACGAATTTGAATAAGTAAATTTACTTACTGATTAATGTTGATCTTTTTTTTCTTCAGCCGTTAGGTTAGTATCATAGATGTTGATGGATTACGGGATTGATTCTCAACGAACACGACATAAATTTACTCGTTTTTCGGCTCCCATTTTTTTTTCCAGTCACCATAAAAACGATTTATTCGGTTTTGAAAATATCACACGATTTCAACTTTTGTTTTTGTACAAAAAAATAATAATTACCTCCAATCCATAAGGTAATCTTTGCATGTAATATAATCAACGAGTAGTGTTATTAATATATTTATTATTAACGAGAACTCGATAAAGAAGTGTGATGATGTTATTTTACAGTGGCAACACAGTATAAACACCATAGGACAAAATTCAATACCTATTTTATGTTTTGAAGATGAATCTGTAGCACAGTTTTTCTATTTACTCTGCGAGCTCGGAAATAATCATCGAGAATAGTTAAGATGTTATGAGATTATAATTAACATGCGATTTAGAATCGATTATATTTTACATAATTATTCACGGCATTTTCACTAATTGTTGGTGTTTCTTGACCGCCTGTTAATATAAAAACTGTGTTTTCAATCTTATATTCGCCCTGTCTAATAGCACTGATTACCTACGTATTGTTGAACTCATATCCAAATAATAGATGAACTACAAGCTTTATCGTTCTTGGCGATTGATTTTCGTAAACTATGTTACGACAGTATTCTGAAGTTTGCGGTCGTCGGTTGATTCGAAACACCCTAAATCCTTTACCCACACCGTTGGAGGAGGGAATACATTTATGCAGAGTTTCTCGCGTTCCTGTTTAAATACCCGTCTAACACAATTATTAAACGACGTTGGGCTGCTGAAACCGATTGCGTGCGCTTCGAAATACACTTGTATACGTATTCATTTAAACGTTGAAAAAAAAAAAAAAAAAAACAATAGAAAAAACTAATCAAATCGTTTTCGACTGACCGACGACGGTTCAGTATACATTTACATTTATAACGTATTTTCTAATTGCTCCTGACAATTAAACGTTATTCGATTTCACGCGTGTTTAAGCCCGTGAGTTTTCACGTTTGTTCAAACAACGCGCGTCCGTAAACGGTAGGCGTTTGCCACGGCGCGACTGCACTTCCATCGGTTCGTCCGAACGCAAATAGTTACTGTTCAAATGGAAAACGCAACTCGCCGGCGTTCCGTCGTCGGCGCGCCCCGACGCTCGTGGACACGACAGTTGTCGACCGACTCACGTCATTTTAAGCCGCGTCCACACTAGCGTAACAAAACGACGAACATGCGTTCGCGAACAAAATCCTGTGTAAAAAATGGGCGAACTCGTGACACTCTATCGACGATCCGTTAGTTGTCGGTATTTCGACGTAACGTCTAAGGATGTCACGCGAACGTGTTGCGACGGGTATGGACACGTCTTCGAACATTTTCACGAACACACAAAATTAAACTGTTATTATTTTCTTAAGTTTAGCCGACTGCCTACAGCCCTTGTTTAAGCGTTACCTTTTCAACTCGTAGACGTATTATGCCGAACGATAGATTGGACTACTACGAAGTTAATCTGAAATTGTATTTAAGTTATAAGATAATTTATTGGTAGCTATACATGCACACGTACATTTTAGTTGTTCGGCGAACCGTTCGCCGTTTTGTTACGCTAGTGCGGACGCGTTCTGTTACGTGACGCGCGTTGTAACAATCGGTTGTGTTTCAGGCGTGGCTCTGGTGAAGAAATCGGAAAGTAACGGCAGATCGCTGGAGGTGGACGGCAACAGCGAGGTGGCCGAGAACGTGATACCCGAGAATTCGGCCGATTTCGGTAAGCTAGTGGACTCGATGTTGTACGACAAGATGTCCAGGTTCGCTAGGTCCAGATCGCTGCAGCTGTCCATGCCGCAGATGTTCGACGAAGGGAGAGACCTCGATGACGGTGTGTACTTGACCGGTAATGTACAACATTAGTGTACGCTATATATTTTCGAATGTATACAGGAGCGTACGTTACAACGCGTAGTTATGTTCGTTTTCCGCCGGGAAACGTTCGCGAAAATTCCTATTAGGTCCCCCCCCTCCTGATGGAATTAACTACGATCAGTGCTTGTTCATCTCGACCAAACGACTCGTACGACATAATTACATTTTCTCGGTACTGGTCAAAGAGATAGTTACCGTTTCAAAAACCTAAGCGAAATCGCATTAATCTGTGTTGCTGCGGGGTCTGAACCACATCGAAACGCAATTGATTGTCGTTTCGGCGCAGAAACTTAATACCGCGGTAAATAATTGTACACTAACGTAACCACCGTAGTAATTTTTTGTTCCGTATATCATCGTCGAAATTTAGGCGCCGTGTAGCTAAGGAGGGCTTCATCGTTGTTGTTTTATTTTTTATTTTTTTTTTACATTTTTTATGGCTATCTTTGACGTGTTCGGATGTTCAGGTCGTAAGAAGAAAAAGGACAAGGGCGGTCAGATGTACCTGATGATGCTGAAGGGCGGTCTGCTGGCGATGGCTTACAAGGGTCTGGCGCTGCTAGCGGGTAAAGCACTGCTGGTGAGCAAGATAGCGCTCACGCTGGCCCTACTGGTGGCGTTCAAGAAGCTGTTCAGTGGCGGCCAAGGTCACGGCGGCTCGTCCAAGACCACGTACGAGATCGTCAAGCAGCCGGTGGTGACGCACGCGCACCAGTACGCGGCGGCAGGAGCGACGGACACGTTCGGAAGCTACGACAACAGCGGTCCTTACGCCAGGAGCATCGCGCAACCGGACATGCCGTACCCACAGCTGGCCGCGTATAGAGCTCACGTCAAGGGTGGCGGGGTCGGTGGCAGCAGTAGCGGTCCCATGATGATGTCCTCGTCCTCGGCGGTCTCGTCGCCGACCTCGGGCCCCAGTGGCGTTCAGCACGATTCCAGCCTCAGGGACGAGGCCCTGTGAACGCGATCTCGTCGCGCCTGCACTGAACACGCTCGTCCCCAACAACCCAACAATACATACCAGCCAACCGTCGAACGATCGCCATCACGCGAACGCGATTCACTACACCACGACAACGGCAACCGCGCAACGACCACACAATAATAATATACTCTTTGTCGCCGCCGCCGCGCGGGCGTACTCGCCAACCATGCGAGGTCCCTATATATATATATATATATGTATAGATATTTAAATATACATATCTTCGGATCCGTTCAAGACTATAATATTTTATCATTATTATTATTTATTATTATTTTTTTTATTATTATTATTATTATAATTATTTTAATATCATTATAACTTATTTATTTATTATTCTTATCCCTATCGATTACAAACATCTATATGTTATATTTATTGTATTCTACATTCGCTCTTATACCGTCCATAATTTGTACAACATTACATTTGGATATTACTGATTGTGCTCAAAGTTGTAAACAATACGGTCTTAGATATTATTATACTATTTTACGTTAATATAAAAAAAAAAAAAAAATAATTATGATCACGTCCTTTCATACTTCGTCGGTGAAGATAGATTATTGTCAATCATTACCAACATCCTTTGGCCGGAGTCAGTCCACGTAATAATATTACGACCACTTTAAAGCGTGATTCGCAGAAGACAAGTGTCGATTCGTCTTGGCGTTGTTTTGAACGATTTTGATTTATTATAACAATATTTAACGTTTACGATGACTTTGAAATCGCCTTGGTAAAACATTGGGTTTCTGTGTACGCATACTGTTAAGCGATATAATATTTTAATAACACAGCGAAACACCTAACATGGTAATTTTAATTGAACCCGTCTAGTTGTCTCATAATATCAGGCTGTATTAGTATTGTACTTTGATAACCCTGAACCTTTTTGAACATTTCTTTGAACCCGTATGATGTGAATTTTCCTTTGTACTTACTCTCTCATCAGTCTTATTCATGTATTTTTATGAGACGTTTTATTTATTGTTAAGATCTTACGGTGTTGTTATGCGTGTCCTCTATGTGTACTATTAAGATTTTAAATAAATCGTGTCTTTATACATAAACTAAATAATAAGTAGTTACAGCGGTTCTACTCGACGTACATACGACAGTAGTTCAGCAGATAAGATCGTATTAGGTATTGTACTCTGTTTAGTTAAATTAATCTACAAAAATTGGTCGCGAGACATTTATTATACGTTTTGTTTTTTTAATTTGTGGCCCGTATTTATATATTTATATTATAAATTCCAATTCCAGTTATAATATATTAATAATACGACATTAGTAATTATGATCATAATATCATAACAATGCATGAAACAGCAACTTAAATTCAATATAAGCTAATTTTATAAATATAGCAATTTACATCATTAATTTTAGATCGCCTACCGATGTGGGTTAACATTTTTCAGATTCTAACTTGGTGGTCGTATATTCGATAATCATATCAGCTGATGGATAAATGTTAACAGATAATAATATTAAGTATCAAATCATGGTATACAAAATTATGATATAAATAATAAACTTCATTTGCCTTGTTCAGTTCGAGGTTCGTCGTGCACAGAACATTAAAGCTAATTAATCCAATTTCTATATTCTCTACCGATCAAATTTTTAGTAATTTTTTTTCTATGCATACTTTTATGAATATGGTCTATGGCGATTAATTTACGAATATTTATTAGCGGATGGATGCAAAATAACGAAATTATGAAGACTATAATACAGTTTCTTATTAAATTGTTGGGTTTATTATATTATAATTAATCCAATATTTGCCAATAACTTACATACATCCCCCTAATAGCAAAATATTAGAATGGGCTGGGCACGTATGGTGCACAGAAGGAAGTATCATAATGAAAGTTGTCATTAAGAAGAAGATCCTTGGGGAGACTATACCAGAGGTGAGTGGACATGGTAAACAGAGAATTTACAAGTATAAATCCGTAGTATAATCCTACGCGTAGCATTAGTTTGGCATCGGATAGAAATCAGTGAAGAGTAATTATAGCCTGAAGAGAAGAAGAAGAATAAGTACGATTCTTAAAGACAGTTTCCAGACGCAAACAAACAAGTAAATAACTTTCAAGTGCTATTTTGCTTTTATCGATTAATGTGTGTTAATTTATAGGAAAATATTACTGAATGCCCATTCCAAACGGGTCCGTGTCCGTAACCTTACCTATCCAATAATCCGTGTATTTTTCGACGTCTCACCTTCTTCTTACTTCTAACAAGTGTTTCGGAGTGAAGATGAGTATCCCAAGCTATAGACTATAGACCATCACAAGATAATCAAAACAACAACAAGACAATGAAACGATAACTTTTGACTAAAAAACATAATCGATATTTTACGAAAACGTGAAATAACGTACACATTTTCATGCGACCGATAACAACGCAATCGCACCGATGGCCGACCGTGCAAGGAAGCATACCGCTGCCGTTGCTGCAGAGCGCTACGCACCGTTGTGTCGTACGAAAATAATAACGAAAATATCATTTGCAGTGCGAACAAAGAACATTTTTCACATGACTTTTGAAAAAAACCGGCAAAATCGAGTCCTCAGCAACTTAATATAAATGGTTTTAGATTATTTAAAAGGTGTTTGCCTCTATACTCCAGTTGTTTATTAGTCGCTATGGATACATTAATGATGTTCATGTGTATTAGGGTGATCCTTAGTTATAGAATAAGACATTTTTTTTAAATATTCTTTGGGCAGGTACCCACCATTTTGTTCATTACCCCTTTCCCGTGCCTCAAAAGAGTTGAAAATTTGTCATAGAGGGTAGTTTTGTAGTTTTGTGAATTTAACTCAAAAACTATAATACTTAGCGAAAAATATATAAAATGTTAGTTATGTATTTTAATGTTGCTCATAAAATATATATTTCAAAAATTTGTCAAAAGTCTGTATTTTTCCAAGAAAAATAGTAAAATACGAAATATTTTATTTAATATTTTATTTTGCAAATGCATATTTTTCTTGGTTCATCCTAGAACATCCAAAGTAAGAAACAAATATGTTTCAAACTACTTGGATATCATACACAAAATCTAATTATGCTATTTTTCGCATATTTACGGGTTTCATTGCTATTTTACTAATTTGGGGTTTATAATGCTATTTTTGGGTATATTTTCAGGAAGTAATCACATTTTTTTGATATTAATGGTATTTACTTGGTTATATTTTTAAAAATACATGAATTAATGGAAATAAATTGACTTCGTCAATTATTTTATGTTTTTATCGACAATTTGATGTATTAATAGTTAGTGACATCATTGTTATTCCTTTATTGTATCATTACATTAGATTATTAAACACTTTTACAATACAGAATAATTTCCAAGATAAATATATAAAATAATTTAATAATAAGTACATTTTTATAAATATATTTAAGTAATTTAACATTATTGTTAACAGTTTATAATTCAAACAGTCAAAAATGTGTCTATGAGTTAAAAACTTTGTAAAATTACATTTTTTTTTCTAATAAATTTATAATTTTTTCAAGTTAAATGCATGTTTTTTGATTTTTCGTGCTATTTATAGCGCAAATATTAGAGCTTTTAAGTGCATATTTAACATCATGATAAATCTAATATATATATCTTCTACGTATTTCATTAAAATTATCATTTCCAAAATTGTTATTTATAAAATCCAAATATTACTGTAATTAAATAGTTACTCCATTAGAAATTTAACAATCACCTTCTATAGGATATTCAATTTTATTCGATTATTATGTATGAAATTTTATCGTAATTTTAATATTTTAACAAACACTTGAATATTATATATAATACAACACCAAGTTCGTTTATTTTACTGAAAATGTTTTTAAAGTTTTTAAGTTCCGTTCCGCGGCACATTTAATTATTTTACGAGACCCATAAAAAATATTATACATAATATCTTACCATTAAGATATAATACTATATAATTATACCGTAACAAGGATCGGATTAAGGGTTACATTTTATTACACATTTTTGTAAAACAATGAAAGTGTTTTTGACGCAAAATACGTGGTTTTATTATACAATATATTTATTTAACAAAAAATATAAATACATAAATACAATAAATGATTGTCATCTTAATTTAGGCCAACGGGCCTGATTAATGTGCTGTCGCAGCCAAACCGGCAGTCTTGTGTATTTCACATAATCCTAGTTGACGTACAAAGTAATGCATTGAAAATCATTGCTACATGTCATAATAACAAAAACGGTATCTGTAACGAAAACGTTTATATCAAGATCTGTACATGGCACGTAGAATACATTTATAAATTAAAATTGTATTGTTATAGGTATGATTGTATTTGAGGAACGGATGGAAAAGCAGGATACTTATTCGTAGATTAAAGAGGTATTTTAACGGATTTTTTTTCTGGTATAATTCCAATACTCTGCAGAAACGAAACTTACGTGTGTACTAATATTTCGATGTATATTATCGAGACGTCATTTGGTTTGAACAGTTATAACGGCCGATCCGATTGGAAAAAATAACGGTTAGTAGCTATGA